TCCTGATGACTTGACTGCCTTGCTCATTATCTTGGAACTAGGCCCATTTGTCAGCAATGCAACTGAATAAACAGAACACAAGGACAGAGCAATTCACATTTCCAAAGTTAACATTCTTCATACAGAGAGTTTGAGTGACAAAGACCAAGCATGTGTGGGGGGCAGCCTTCTGCATTTCTGACTGGATGCCACTTACATTTTATATCCTGTCAGCCAGAGTCCCATACCCATTTCATGTCTGAGCAGAAACTGACGCACCCCCAATCTAACCCTCCCTCCTCTGCTCACCATTTTGATTTCCCATGTCTGTGAATGAGAGTCAGTAGTGGTTTTGGCTCATTATAGCTGTGACAGGAGACCACCACCACCATTAACTGACTGCAGGCAGAAGGTAACTGAGCTTAGGAAACAGCCCTAGGTATCCAAAGATGCAGGGGCTTGTACAAAAGAGAGGACGGAACTGAATGTGATGCCACATGAGTCACCTGTGGTTCCAAAACCAAAGACTGGCCTGCATTTTAAAATAGTATTGGCATAGCAGACAGGAAAAAGTGCAACACAACTCTTTAGTTGGGCTTGTTTTAGGAAGAAAGAGAAGGATTTTTGGTGTCATTTGTGAATTGAAAATCATCTGGTAATCAGACAGAACAACCTACAATTCAAAACTGGGTTTTAATTCCTCAGGGTAATAAAAGCAATGTTGACCCATGGCTTTTTTTTTTTTTTTAAGGTTTAGACTTTAAAGCCAATTCTAGGTTTCCATTAACATTTTCCACTTTGGCTTTCCATATTCACTCTGCATGTCAGAACTTTCTTCAGTGCTTGTGTATTTGCTGAACAGCTGGGGCAATGTTCAGAGTGAGTTTTTCTTTTAAAAATTAACTAGGTTCAAAAAGCCTTTCAGAAAAGTAGCAGTTAGGGTTAAATGTGGTTCTGATATTGCACTGTTAAACACATGCCAGGCATGGAAACACTGACTTTCTTTTTCCTCACACGATATGGCTAGCAGTATTATGTACAAATGAGTACCTACTACTGGTAGAGTCTCCAAAAAATTAAATAATCTAACAAACAAGCCTCACCTCCAACTCTTAAAAAAAAATGTATCTTAGCAAACATCCAAAAGGCATGATTTCCAGCCTCTCCTGGCTGAGGTTTGTGCATAATTACAATACTTTACAGGTTTCCCCACATCAGTTACATGCCAATGTGTTAATGGCACCATGGTGTCCTTGGCCTCTGTTTGCCAGAAGCTGGGAACAAGCAACGGGATGGATGATTAACTGTTCTGTTCATTCCCCCTGGGACAGCTAGCATTGGACCCTGTCAGAAGACAGGGTACTGGGCTAGATAGACCTTTGGTCTGACCCATTATGGCCATTCTTATGTCCTTTAATAGCACCTACAACTGATTTTAAAATTTTAGCTATTTTAATTTCAAGACAACAGTTTCTTATTTCTGTGTCCTAGGCATCACCATCAGAATGATTCCTTGGAAACCATACATACTTGGAAACCATTTTAAGTATTACACATTCAGTGTACAGGTAAAGGTTTTCACTGAATGAGGAGATGTCCTTACTACTTTTCAGATCAGATAATTTGGCCCGTTAGCTGATTGGGCTTGTATAACATAGTAATAGGTGAAGTATAAATAGGTAGCTGTATTTGGTAGTTCCCCATAAAAGTAACAGTAATTTATGCAAAAAATGGCAACTTATGCAAAAAAAATTCTCATGCCTAGATTGTACAATTGTAGATGTTTTCAGAGCTGACGGTCCTGGCATATTTCATTAAAAAAGTGTTTACCATATCAAATTTAAATAACAGGCTTTTTAATGCCAGTATTTACAACTATGCAATGTCCCCTGACACTAAGCCTTCTCTCACCATTTTGCTGCAAGGACAAATATTTTCCCTTAGAACTGTGCCATTCGTGAGTACAGCTACGACATTCAAATGTTCTGCATATGGTGCCAGAGTGAGGCTGTATGAAACCACTCTCTCATTTCTTTTCATCCACCTCGTTATGTTTTGTTCTGTTGCTGACAGTTCAATGCATCTCAAGTGCTTCCTTCTTTATGTTTGCGAATGCCTCTGTATACATTCATACGTGAAAGAGAATGCAAGGAATTTTCCTTGGTTCCCACTTTCAATTTACTCGAAACCTCAGACAACTATTCTGCCTCTGCTGAGCAAAGTTTGCTTCATATAGTCTTCCAAGAAACTGTTTCCTTGATTTATTTGAGTCCTGAAAGTCAAATCAAATACAAAGCGTGCCCCACTTTATGATGTATAAAATTAGTCTGTTGGCACCACCTCGGAATTTAAAAAATGCCTTTACTGATATCATTGAAGCAGCAAGATTTTTTCACTGTTAATATTAGCCAAGTGCAATGTAACCGAAACGGAACAAGACTAGAGATATGCTCCACACATTTTCGCATTAGCACTTGCATTAATCCTTCAGTGTGTTAACTTATTCCATACTGTAGATAAATAAGATAATTATTACATTAAAATCAAGATGTAATCAATGTTACTTGTTCTGAAAGTTCACAGTAAATTCGGCACGCTCTCATTTTTAGGCTGTTATGCCCTTTTGATCATCTTAAACCATCTTCATTCTTTTTCCCTTTTATCTGTAAATACTTAAATATTTCATACAGTGTCTTCATACCCCACCATGGTCTCCTATTCTCTAAACTACACACATAATATTCCATTAATCTCTTACGCCATCTAATTCTTTTATCATTCAAGTTCCCATCTTTGTATTATCTAATTATGTAATACCAAAGGATATCACAGTTACCTGGAGCCCCTGTTATCGTCTAGTATTGTAAGCTAATCCAGTGGCAGGACATTGTAAGCTAATCCAGTAGAGTGCCAATAATAGAGTATAATTAAAACAATGTTGCAGAGTGTTGCTTTCTGGCAACAAACATGTAATTGATGCATGGGCCACAACAGACTTTGTTGAAGCCAAAAGGTGTCTCCCCCATCCCATCCCTTCCACCATCCCCAGAGATCACAGACATAGCTGCTTCTGAATCTGTTTTCATTGTCAATCTCAGAGAGTTCCTTCAGATAATTACCAAAACAAAGAATGGTGGACATTTTTTCAGTGTTGCCAAAAATTCAGATACTTTCTCCTTTTATCTGCTTTCTTAGATGAAACGTACATTCTTCTGTTTAAAAATATGGTGATAGGGACAAAATGCTTCTTTAGAATCTCTTTTATGTCCTTATATTCCAGTTTCATTGGTTCTTGAGGAAAACTCTGAAGCACCACAAAAGTGATTTTACACATCAATGTCAGGTATCGGTATCATCCATAGCATGTACATAAAAATACTGCTCGAGTCTCTTAGCAAATCTTGTGAAAGCTCCTATCTTTTCATTACATTGTAAACTGACCATATACATCCCTCTTATATGACCGACTGTCTTCTCCGCTATGATAGAGGATACACAGAGAAAAATGAGATAAAACGCTAGTGTTATTTTGCAACCTTCCAGCAAAATTATTTAATCTATTCACTGAATTCATAATTTAATAATACACAAAACAGAGAAAGAAAAGCAGGCTGCTCCCTAAGGCAGCAAGGCACAAATCACATCTTCTAGCTTTAAACTGGCTCTTTTCAAACTGACTCCAATTAGGTGCTTTATTAGAGACCCTCTGACTGATTACAATTCTAATGCAGTCCACAATGTGCCATAGTTGTGGTCATGGAAGTAATGGGGATTAATTAAGCTCACAATTCTATATTTTTTGGTTAGTCTCCAAAGTGCCACAGGACTACTCGTTGTTTTAGACAAAGTTTATGAAGAAATTAAGGTAAGAAGAGGCAACTTTTCCTGATGGGCCACCAGAATTCCTCATTGAGAAAGGAATTTGGCCTATGTCAGAATTAGGGACTGAAACCCATAGATTCCTTTATTGCATGGAAAGAAATAAAGCAATACAAACAGCAAGACCCAGTCTAAACCTAAGTCTTAAGTCAACCTAATTACATTGCTCAGCAGTGTCGAAAAAGATGCACATTCTGTGTTGCAGCTAAGATGATGGTGGAAGAATTCTTCCACCAATCCAGCTTCCATCACTAAGGCTATGTCTACACTCGCGGGTTCTTGCGCGAGTAATATGCAAAAGAGGCTAAGCGTGGAATATCGCCGAGCCTCATTTGCATACCTAATGAGCCACCATTTTTTTCACAAGAGGCTCTTGCACAAGAAGGAGCATCTACACTGCCCCTTCTTGCGCAAGAAAAACCCTCTTGCGCAATGTCGCTCTTCCTGAAAAGTAATAGGTGTAATGGCATTGCACAAGAGGGTATTTCTTGCACAAGAAGGGGCAAAGTAGACGCTCCTCCTTGCGCAAGAGCCTCTTCTGAAAAAAATGGTGGCTCATTAGGTATGCAAATGAGGCTCGGCGATATTCCACGTGGTGCTTCATTTGCATATTACTTACGCAAGAAGCCACGAGTGTAGACCTAGCCTCTGGGAGATGGACTACCTGCAGTGATGGAAACCCCCTCTTCCATCTATGTAGGAATGTCTATATTACAGCAGCACAGGTCTATACCGGTACCAGTGTAGCTGCTGTAGTATAGACATACCGGGAGGCTATGTCTAGACTGGCATGATTTTCCGCAAATGCTTTTAACGGAAAAGTTTCCATTAAAAGCATTTGCGGAAACGAGCATCTAGATTGGTACGGACGCTTTTCCACAAAAGCACTTTTTGTGGAAAAGCGTCCGTGCCAATCTAGACGCGCTTTTGCGCAAAAAAGACCCGATCGCCATTTTCGCCATTGGGGCTTTTTTGTGCAAAACAAATCTGAGCTGTCGACACTGGCCCTTTTGCACAAAAGCTTTTGCGCAAAGGGACTTTTGCCCGAATGGGAGTATCATAGTATTTCCTCAAGAAGCACTGATTTCTTACATGAGATCATCAGTGTTCTTGCAGAAATTCAAGCGGCCAGTGTAGGCAGCTGCAAGTTTTTCCACAAAAGCAGCTCCTTTTGCGGAAAAACTTGCCAGTCTAGACACAGCCTGACAGTGGGCAGGGGATGGCCTGTAACCTCAAATGACTTGGGATCTGCAGCAAACCTGAGCCAATCCCTGTGGATCCCTAAAAAATGTGGATCTGAGAGTCAGGAAAGAGCAGCTGTGCTGAGATGTAAATAAGTGAGTTTTCATTTCAATAACAGAGATTGGATGCCAGGGCAAATGATGAAGGGAGTGGGCCACTTGATCTCCCACCCCCACAGCCAGGGGACAACTCCCATCTCCCCCAGACCCTGCCCTTCACCCCCATCCCATCCTCTTCCTCACCCCTGCCCTAACCTTACTTTCCCCCAAACAATACGGCCCGGGGGACCAGCACAGTGAAGGGCAGCACCAGCAGTGTGGTGGAGGGAGGACAAGTCAACCCCCTTGCACTCACCACAGTGGTAGGGTAAGTGGAGCAGCATAGCCCCAGCTCACTTTGCTCCTCCAGCTGCATCACTCTGCTTCCTGATGGTGAGCATGGGGATGGTCCTGTGTTCCCCCCGAGTAACGCAGCAGAGGAGTAGGGTGAGCCTGAGCTGTATAGCTCCACTTGTCTCTCAGCCAATGGTGAGTGTGAGAGGGCAGACCCATACTGCATGTGCTAGGTCCTCTACTGGACCCCGCAGATGCCCACGGACTCTGGCCCTTTGTCACTCCTGCTCATGGCATTTGGGGGCATGTGCCCTCTCATGCCTCCCTCATGTATCACCTAAGATGGCACATATCTGGACACGTTATTGCCGGGTTAAGGCTGGATATGCTGGCATGCACCTTCATATTCAAATGGAGAGCCTGCCTGAGGATTGTTTTTTAGCTCAGTGGGGTGCAGAGTGCTCTTGCAGAGAAACAACTTCCTGACCACCCCTTAGATATCTGTAGAGCAAAACGGGCCTGCCCTGGGTCACTCAGCCAAGACAACATCTACAATAGAGCAAGGCAGACACTGCTTGCAGTCTAGGGGTCATTCCCACTGGGGCTGCATATTAACTACAAGGGGTAGCAAAAACAGGAGAATTTTAATTACAATCTATGATTTTATAGCTTCACTCTTCTGCCAGCTTCTTAACTCAACTAAATAGAATACAGCCAGTCCCCAACTTACGAACGAGTTATGTACCAAGCACTTGGTCGTAACTCGATCTGTTTGTAAGGCAGATTACATTCACTTACATACGGCCGCACTGTTTGTAAGTGCAGATTTCATTTGTAACTGGGGTAGCAGCTATATAGGAGGCTGGTCGTAAATACGAACGGTCATAAGTTGATGCATTCGTAACTCGGGGACCGGCTGTATGCTTGTCAAGCATCCAAATTCTAACCACAATTGTAGTTGTATTTGTGCATGCATCTTTTTCTAACATTTTGTGGAAGGATTTACAAAAATAGATAATGAAGCGATACACACCTTCATAACACACCGTGTAACGGCAATCCCCCCGATGATGAGGATGAAGATAAGCATAAGCACTACTACAGAAGTTATCCAGTGGTGAGGTGAAGTGATGTTTTCTAAAAACACATAGTTCATATTAATTTCAAATAAACGGGAGATGTTAATATTTCTCAAATGTCTCAAAAGTTTAAAGCTTATGAGTTCCAGCTAAGTGAAATACTCCACCAGGCAAGCTTGTCTTAATACTCACACCAGTCCCTAATGAGCATCAATCTGTCGCTCTTTTCCATTTTATAATTCATAAAGTTGTAACCAACCTGTTTGTTCCATTAACTCAATTGTAATCTTAACACTGAAGTGACATTTAATGTTTAATAAAAGCTTTAAGATCCTACAGTCTTAAGAGAACATGAGCTTTCAAATGATAAATGCATTTCAAAGCCTAATTGTTGAAACCAGGCTCCCTTACTTACTGCCACAGTCTCTAGTGAGAGCTGTGTGTGTGGCCTCACCACAAGAGGTTGGTGACTTCCAGAACAATCTAATTAACATCAACTGGCCCCATTTTGTAAATGCTGACCTCACAGAGAGTGCTCACTGCCATGAGCAGCCCCCCAGCTTTGCAACAGGACCACTCAGCTGGTAATACAGCTGGCTGGGAAATGGAAATCCCTTCCTGACACAAATCAATAATACATGTTTGTAAGGAGTATTTAGTCATGGACCAGGATGAAATAGCAAACCAGAATTGATTGATTTTTTGCATGAAGGGTTTTAAAGAAAAGAAATTGTTTCAGGAGACCCAAAACAGAACTGTTGGCTTCCCAGCTATCAGCCTAAAAGGACAAGGAGCTGTTCATTTCTATTTTAGCCATTAGCTATATTTATGAATGCATTATGGCCTTTTAAAGAACTTGGGGACATCTGCATCTTCCAACTATAGCCCCTCCCCATTGACTTCTATGCGGGTGTGACTGCTACATCTCCCACTTACCCCATGCTTTGTACATACTTGTTAAGCTTGCCCAATCTGAACCAGGATTTGGACCACATTGGGAAGGTGCAAAATATGTGACAATGCCCTAAATGCTTGGAAAACCTCTAGGAAGTGCCATAGGATGGAGAAAGTTAGAATTGCAACCTGGTAGGTGACGTTAGATGTGGAAGAAAGTCTTCTTGGACCAAATTCAGTTAGTGATATAAAGAAATATATCTTAATAATCAGAAAAGTCTAAACTTGCTTTTCTCATCCAGAGCAATATTTCTCTAATAAAATATCACTGCGTTCTGCTACCACTGTAGGAATAGAGGCCCACGTCAGATTTGGGTAAACTATGGCTTTAAAATGAACTGGGATATTAGCATGAACAACTGACCCAAAGCATGGAACCAAAAAGAATGAAACCTTCAGAATGAAGAGTAATTGCATTATATTCATAGCAACCCTTCAAATTACTAGTGTTACCAAAGTTTGGGCTAAAATAAGAGAAGTATAATTAATTGGGTGCCAGATGCAGTAAAGAATTGGCTATATAAGAAACACTTTCATCTGCCCTTAGTGAATGTCTGACAATTGATCATGACATCACCTGTTTGTTAAAGAGCATATACGAGTAACCTCTTAAAGGGATCCTTGTTAATACTTCTCTGATCATGCTGGAACCAACCAATATGGATCTAAGCACCATGAGTTTAGCCCATTTGTAACATCTTCATCAACTCCTATAAATATTTTGTTACTGTCTGGATGTAGTAAACAGCTTTCTAGGTATGTGTAGAACAATTGTATAAATAGCATTAAGCCTTGGAGGAAAGATTGTATAGTTAAATTAGTTTCCTGGCAATCCCCTGCATAAATAACAGTAATTCTAAATCTTTATCCCTCGGAGGACTTGAGGTTTTTTTCCCTCAAATTTTGCAGTTTTTAAGTTGACCTTTTTTCCACAATCTTCAGTGTTGAAATTGCTGCAACTTACCAACTTTCAACATTCTTACAGTGAGTTGTGTATAGTGTGGTGCTGAAATATTGCACACATATTCTCCGCTGTCTGCCAGAGTAAGATCTTGTAAGATTACTGATTCATTGATTTTCTTCCAAGAGAGTCGTGTTTCATACAGTTCAGGGACTGGTGATGAACTTTTGAAGGATGCCAAAATTGAGGTAGATGCATTTCTGATTATTGTCCAAGTGACTATGAAGTCTTTAATATTTGGAGACCTTTCAGCCTTAAATTCACATGGAATTGAAATGGTATCTCCTTCCTTTTTGGAACACTGCTCTGAAATATACAATTATAAAAGCAACAATTAATGTGAACGCAATGGGTGAGCAAGCTACTGTAAAGGATGGTTCAGGCTTTTGAAACTTTTTCATTTGATAAGCTTTTGTGCACTATTTCTGAAGCAATCTTTTGATATAAGTTTACTCATATTTCACTATGAGCTTTACAAGATATCCTACTGCAGAAACCACTTCTTGAAAAAGTCGTTTCAGACCCTGCAGTTCAGCCTCAATAGTTGGTTTAAGATCAAACAAACAAAAATAGATAAAGATTGCGGGGAGATAAATGATTTTTTCTTTATGCCAGTCACAGTGTAAATAGATGGTGACTCTGAGGACCAATGTGGGGGACTGCAGCCCACATTGCCTCTCGTCTGGTTAGCAGAAGCCACGAGGGTCTCAAACAGTTCAGATAAGCAGCCAGAAAACTGGATGTTTATCCAGACCAAACCCCAAACCCTTCTGAATTTCACTCAATGTTAGTAAGGACAAGTGCTAGGATCATGTGATCTTTAAGACGTGGGATTCCTTTAATGAGCAATGTTAATACATCACCACACACATTCAGAACAAAAGTTTGCTCTGCAGTGGGCCGAGTGGACTGAGAATAGTAAGAATTCTTGGCATGTAGCGGAGGAGCGCAGAGTAGTGAAATCAAAATCAACCATGCAGATCCGACAGGAAAACTTTGTCTTTCATTGCTGTTGCTCCAATTAAGAAATATTTCTAGAGAACTAAGACCCTCAGGAAAGCGGTGGTGGTGTGATTTGACAAAAAGGATTTGTAGTGAGAGTGCAAAAAAAGAAGCAGGAATAAATAGAGCAGGGAATAAATAGAGCAGGGATTCCCGACCTTTTTATACTGTGGACTGGCAAACACATTCAAAAACTTTTGGCAGACTGGTATAGAAAGATTTGCATATTCATGATGGTAATTAATTTATTTGCATATTCAGTGTAGCAAATAATTTTAAATGGTCATGTGTTATTTTACATTGCGTCTGAACGCACACAATACATGTCATCGTAACACATTTGTTTTATTATTATTCCCCCCACCCAAAGTATTCGCTTTCTACCTTAAAAAAACCATACATAACACATCGCTAGCTACCCAAAGTATTTTATTAAAGCAGCCCAAGAAAACATGAGGCTGCTGCTGGAGAGAGGGAAGGGGAAGGAGACAGGGAGGGCTGCTGGCTTCCTGGGCTTTTTATTTAAGCAGCCAAGGAAAACATGAGGCTGCAGCTGG